GCGCCCTGCCAGCCCTGCCCGCCGGCACGGACCTGCCGGCGCGCGTCGCGGGGACTGCCAGGCTGACCGACTGACAGACTGACTGACAGACTGACAGACAGGCTCACACTCCCTACAGCCCCTCGCAGCACAAGAAGAGGAGCGAAGGAACGACGCACTCCGCCCCGGCGGCCGCGCCCCGCCGGTTCCCCCCGCGCTCACCGGGCTCTCCAGCCGCTCGCTCTCCATCCCCGCGCCTCCTCCTCCTCCTCCTCCTCCTCCGCCGGGCGCCGTCAGCCCGGGCGGGCGGGACACGGGCGGTGCGGCGCCCGCGGCGGCTCCCGGCGCAAAATGGCGAGCGGGCGGGCGGGCGGGCGCGGGGCAGCGCGGGCGGGGCGGGGCGGCCGCGCCCGCGGCAGCAGCCGCACAGCGGAGCTGTCCAGCCGCCCCCGCCGCGCTGCTCCCCGCGGAGCACCGGCGGCCTGGCTCCGCTATTGTTTTGGTCCTTTTCTTTCGCCCAGCGGCACCGGAAATACCGCAAGTCCCGGCGGCCGGGGGTATTGAGTGCTTTCCCGCTCAGCCCCTGCCACTGATCATGGCTCATGGTAACCCATGTGATAGAATCACTGAGTCGTAGAATGGTTTGGGTTGGAAGGCACCTTGGAGATCACAGAATCACAGATTCAGTCAGGTTGGAAAAGACCTCTGAGACCATGAGTCCACTCTGTGTCCTAGAGCCACCTTATCAACCAGACCTTGGCACTAAAAGCCACATCTGGTCTTTCCTGAAATACCTTCACCACCTCCATGAGCTTTGAAGAATTTCTTTTTCATGTCCAACCTGAATTTCCCCTGATGCAGCTTTGGATAGTGTCCTCTCATCCTAAACATCTAATTCCAATGTCCCCCACTGTTGCCAGGATCACCTTCCAGAAGAACAGATTGCTCAAGCCTTCTTCAACCTGGCCTTACTAAAGGTTTGGAGCATCCACAGCTTCTCAGAGCAACTTGAGCCAATGTTTCATCACCCTCTCAGTGAAGAAGTTCATCCTAATGTACTATCTAAACCTGCCCTCTTTAAATTTAAATTCATTACCCCTTTTTACATTACCTGGCCATAGAATAACTCCCTTTTTTTTCATAAGCTGCCTTTAAATACCGAAAGACCACAATAAAGTCCTCATGGAACCTTCTCTTCTCCATGCCAAACAGTCTCAACTCTCTCAGCATATCTCAGCATAGGAGAGGTGCTACAGCCCTCTGATCATTTTTATGGACTCTTTTGGACTCACTCCAACAGATCTGTGTCTGTCTTGTGCTGAGAATCGCAGACCTGGATGCAGTGCTCCAGGTGGATAGAGTAAGGGCAGAGTAGAGGGGGATAATCTCCTCCCTCAGGCTGCTGGCCACAGTTCTTTAGATGCAGCCCAGGATACAACTGGCTCTCTGGGCTGCCAGGGCACACTGCTGCCCCATATCCAGCTTTTCATCCCTGAGAACCCCCAAGTCCTTCCCCTCAGGGCTGCTCTCAAAGGCTCCTTCTCCCAGCCTGTCCTCACGTTTGGAATTGCCTCGATCCAGGTGCAGCTCTGCACTTGCACTTGCCGAACTTCGTAAGATTCTCATGGGCCCACTTCTCTGGTTTGTCCAGGTCCCCCTGGATGTCATCCCTTCCATCTTTTGTGCCATCTGCACTGCTCAGCTTTGTGCCATCTGCAGATTTGCTGAGGGTGCCCTGGATCTCACTGTCCGTGTCATTTATAAAGATCTGAAGAACACCAGTCCCAAGAGAGAGCCCTGAGGAAAACCACTCATTCCTGGCCTTCACCTGGATACAGAGCCATTGACCACAATTCTCTGGCCAATTCCTTATCCACTGAATAGTCCATCAATCAAATGCATGTCTCTCCAATTTGGAGATTAAAATGTCATGTGGGACTGTGTCAAAGATCTTACAGAGGTCATCTCTTGGTCTTGCATTGTCAACTTTTGCAGTCATCCTATCACAGAAGGTGACCAGTTTTGTCAGGCACAATTTGTCATTATTGAAGCTGTGCTGGCTGTCTCAGACCACCTCCTGGTTTTTCATGTGCCTTAACAATTTTCCATGAGGACCTGTCCCATGATCTTCCCAGGCACTAAGGTAAGGCTCACAAGTCTGTAATTACCCAGACCTTCCTTCATCCCCTGATTAAAAATAGGTATGGTGTTTCCCCTTTTCCAGCCACTGAGGACTTTGCCTGACTGCCATGAGTTCTCAAATATCATGCAGGAGGCATGCACCAGGCAGCTTTTGTGGCAGCTAGGATGAAAAAGAGATGGGGAAGTGGTTATGATGGCCAGCATCTCCTAGCCTTCCCTTACAGCACGTTTCCATTGGAACAAGAGTAGTAAATACCCTTTTCACCATCCACCAGAACAAACAAAAAATACTTTTCAATTCTCAGCACCTTTCGCTTTTGTCAAGGGTGCAGACAGAGCCATTGCAGTGGCAATAGTTAACATAGCATTAGGCTAAGGGAGAAAGAACCAGTTAGCAAGCTTTGAGTAAAAGCATGCACTGTCCTCACATTACACAGTGGAAGGAGGTTTAGTTAATTAAAATACATGCGGCCTGGGTTATGTGAATGATGAAATGTTGTCAGTTGGAGAAACACCAGATTTGACCTGCTGTTCTATTTGAAGAAAAACATCAGGATAAGAAGTTCCCTTTTCCTCTGAAAACTACTTTTCATATGAGTCAATAAAATAAACACTGTTGAAATGCCTTACTTGGGCATTATTTACACCTGTGTTTCAGTGGCCTGGATGTGAAACTTGAATGGAAATTTACACTCAGAAATTATGAAAACAGAGGTGACTTTTTATGTGTCCAGTACAACAAAGAAGAACCTTCTACAGAAGACTTATAAAGATATTATTTAGGATTTACTTTACTAACCAGTGTCATAAAAATACAGAGTGCTCTGGTTGAAATTATTCTGATAGTACCAGTAAATGTACAGTACGTATATTCAAACTGAAACATGTCACTTAAATGGGCGTGGGGAGAACAGGTTGGTAAGGTCATATGTTGTCAGCCTTCCAACTGTGTTTTGAATAGTGATTTGCAAGCCTCTGAATATGGATATTATCTCTTACCCACCTCTGCTATTCTTCAGCTTTCCTGATTCCTGCTTTCCTTACAGGCAGGCAGCTTTTAACAAGCCCTTGTCTACACTAGCACACTACCCACCGCTGATGCTGGGTTGTGGTTGATGTAGGGCCAAATAAACAATCAGCTTCAGACTAGAACAAAGACCCCTGGGCTCTAAGGCTGCCTTTGAAACAGTAGGAAGAAATTTTGTCTTCGGTGGCTCTGCAAGGAAAACCATTCTGCGCTCCATGCCAAAAGTGTAGATGCTAGCACTTGGGTGCTGCTAGTGCAGACAAACATGGAGAACACATTTTCCCCTGTCCTTCTGAAGTCTTCACATGCACCACAGTGCCAGCTACTGTTACTGCCAAAACTTGTGAATGATTCTTTGTTCAATCTCTTAATAAATTGTTAAGGTATTACCTAGTTTTTGTACATGTTTGTTCTGGCTTCAGGATAATTCAGAGCAAGATTTTAATTACCACCTCCATCACATTAAGATATTACATGGAAGAAGATATCCTTGAAGGTATCAAAAGGGCAAAACTCCCTCTTCTGCACTCACACCTTTTTACTAGCTATTTGATCCTCCCCCAGCTCAGGACTACTAAATTTGCAGTGCCAAAATTCTCATTAGCTTCATGTACTGGGAGGAAAAGGCAACAGCTAGGAATGACTGATACATTAAAAAGATAAGAGCACAAAACATTGTTAGAAAATACTTCTGTCCTTAGCTTCTGAAAAGGGTGTTAATAAGATCAGCATGACTACAAAAGTCAGACCTACCCTTCTGCTTTGTTACCAGCTGAAGATGTGCCTCAATTGGACACCCGTTCTGCTCACAAGGGACTCATTTTGCATGGAGTAGTGCCTGGGTTGTGTTTAAGTAGCTCTACACATCCTTCAAAATTCAGCCCTGTTGCTTTGGCAGACAGGGTCTGACCAGGATTTACAGCAT